GGAGTGTCATAATCATGGTTTAAGTTACAGCTTTCGGAGGAATCGTTGAGGCTTGAAACTCATCCATGAGGGAGCACGAATGGGAAACATTGGGGAATGTTTTTCGAGTATTCTCAAGTACAATTCGATTCTCAGGGACTTACGGGATGGTTAATACCTGGTAAACATGTTTTCGAGGGGCTTACGGCCATTACTGGAGTCTTATACTTGCGACAGACGGTGGCACGCGGGGAGATATTTTCTTGCATTTCACCCGGAATTTATTCCCGGAGTTTCATCCATACCCTTCATTTGGCCGGAGAATAATTGCAAATTCTCGCGAAACTTGGGGTAAACTCCGGTTTTATCCCGAGTTTAATTGGGGAAATTAATAGTTTGCTAGTGAAATTTTTGGGGGAAACTTGCGACACACTTTTTGGAAATTTTTATCACATAGTTCCAGTGGAATTTTGATAAATTTTGTGATTGAAAATTCTGAATTTCATGGAAGAATTAATGACAACTTTAAATATCAGTTCAATTTGTTCCTGGGAATTGAAATAAATCAGTAAAATTATGATGATTATTTTTCCCAATCGGATTTCGACCAATCAGAGCGCAGTATGTGAGGTTAACCGACAGTTTTATTTCGGATAGTTCCTCCTAGCTTTTGAATATTTCGCAGTAGTTCTTAATTTTTTTACCTGAACATTTCACAGTAGCTCTTCATTTTTTTGGCTCATCTCAGATAAAATCTTATATTTGACAGTCTATGGAAATCGGGTTATTCTATTAACATAATTTGTTCAAATCTTCCCCAATTCACCTCCTGATGTTGTCCACTGCACTCGGCTTGGCCAAAATCCGATTGGGAAAAATAATCCGACAAATACCCCTCGAGATTCAAAATTAATCGGGTATTTTCCTCAAGCTCCCCTGCAAACAAACCATCGTGCCAAGTTTTGCAGAAAAATCCTTCGCGCAATCACTCGGGATTTTTTAACCTGCAAAACTTGACACCCTCCTTTATTTGCAACGAAGCTATCGAGAAACACCCGATAATTTTGAAGCTCGTGGGGTATTACTACTGAAAAAATTGAGATACTTCTGTAAAAAAATGTCTATAGAATAGTATATTAGAATGGCATTTTTATCAATCGAAAAATGAAACAAAACACACACCCAAATATATGAGGAAGAGAGAAGAGGCTCAATAAACTAAACATTCGATTCCGTTACAATACACACTTTTTAGATCATATTTAGTTACCCCACCCCAACAAATTGGAACCTTCAATTTGCGCGATTACAAAGCTTCCATTCGGAGGCAAATCCCCCAATGAAATGACTTTGACTCTCTAAACCCCCGACATGAGCAAGAAATCCTCACAAAAAGTAACTAACATTCTCGAAAAACACATTCATGTTTTCTCAACCTTGTAATTTACTCTTTCCCATTTACTTAAAACCCGCGGAATTCCAGTATTTTTATCTCGAAGAGTTTTTCCACCTCAACTCCCTGAGGAGCGTATTTTCTAAACCCACCTGGCGTTTGCGTGTCTTTTTCCCAGAATGCCATCTTATTCTCGGCTTTTTCGCGAGAAGCCGATGGTGAGAGAGAGTAGTAAATGGCAATCTTGGATGAGATCTCACTCTCCTGGGAGACGTTGAGAGCGGGAGAGTTAAAATGGCCATACTCAACTATTTCCGGAAAATGGTTGTGATTCTCCTCGCCTCAGTTGGCTTTTGTCGGATGCCCAATGACTGGCCACTGGCCTGTCGCTTGGACATTGTACTCATTTATACGAACACTAGATTGAATAAAAAAAAGGGGGAGAGACGGAGGGAAAAAGACCGGTTGCATTGAGCCGCCTGAATATTGTATCGCTTCCAATCTGCTTCGTGACGACTAGACATGCCTCTATGAACTCTGCACTACTACTTCATTCATGGATTTTGAGCCAGGACAATGGCGCACGCCTTGCCAACCCCACCACGCCCTATCGACCCGTCTCAAGGCGAGAGAGTGCATCTAGGCAAATCCTGTTGTGAGAAATAAAGCCCGTTCGTTCATTGAGGAAATATAACCGGACAATTTTTAAAACGGAGACCTTTCATTGATGGGCCACTACCATTGACACCACGTGAATTGGCAGGAAGCCCGGTTAACTCCACTCGGTGTAGATCGTCTTGCTTCAATGAGATTATCATCAAAGTGGTGGGTTAAGAGTTTTCGGACACCTCTGGGATTGGCCAGAAATTCATTCATCTTGTGGCTCCTCTTTTTAGGGTTCATTCAGCATTTCTGAGTGGCGCACGCTAGGATCACTCGGATACTTACACCTGCCGTCTGCTCCCAGAGGATTGAATTTTTGTAAAAAAATCTTTACTCGAAATTTTGATGCTCGTTTTGGGAATATTTTTGGTGGAAAGCAATAAACTCTGTGTCGGTTTTAATAATAGAGGTATGTGTGTTTATTCATTTCAAATAAATGGGGCAGCAATCCTCCAACACTCGGTGGTGGATCCAACGTCGTTGTGATTTTGTATGTGTTCATAATATGATGGGAAAATCAAATTCGAAGAAAATAAATTAATTGGTGTAATGTGAACCTAAATTTGAGAGAAGAAATATTCAAGGAGCGAAACAAAAATAAAGCAAATGATTGATTTGCATAATTTTGGGGTGAGCGTTACACTGTTGAAAAAATTTGGCTGAATTTTCCGGAAAAGACCTTGAATTCCCAATGTTCTAGCGGCTGGAAGACAAAAATTCTATAATTTACATAAATTGTCAGGGAATTTTTTTAAAATTCTTGGAAATTCAGGAATTTTTGAAGGAATTCCCGGAAAAGTTTGGAAAATTTAGAATTCAAGAAGAGATTTCTCTGATTATTCCGCATTTTTCATCAATTTTCCCGAAATAATTGAACTGAAATTTACCGTTCCCATGATTTTCCCATGAAATCATGGATTTTCAATGGCAAAATTCCTTGAAATTTCAGTGGAAAATTTTTATCAGTATATAATTGAAAAAAAATGAATCGCCAGAAAGATTTTTTATAAATAATGAGCACCGTTAGAGCAAAAAACAATTTGGAAAAATAACCCTTGAACAAATGAGAATGTAACCATAAAAATTCATCCACAAAATTAACAAAACATTAACAAAATCAACTAGTTCACAATGATTATCGCTCATCGATTAGTATCAATTAACCAGAATGGACAAAACCTCCGTTACGAAATCATCTAAACGAATTAGCCCACTGGCCGTACGAAGATGCTAATGACCCATGCGCATTGAAACGCCACTGATAGTAAATTCCACGTAGATATAATCTCCCATCGATTAATACTCACAGCACAGTGAGCCCAGATTAACCATCAAAAAACGGAATGAGAGGATTTCAACCGTAACTGCTACTCTGTTATATCAGTTTTTCAGTCGAGATATTTTCCGTGCACGCCTCCCCTTCCCCACCCGCACCCGAAATTTAAATTTAAAAAATGAACAAAAAAACAAAGAAAAAAATAGATAACCACTCTGTACTGTTCAGAAAAATTGAAAATTCATGAATTGTTGGACAGTAATTTCCAGCGACGTGACATTACATTCGAATTAGGAGAAAAAATCGTGGATTTTCAGATTATAGTAAAAAAGTAATTGATTGTAAATTACATGTAATTAAATTCAATGAGTTTCAATAAAATAAATTTTCAATTGATTGAAAATTCAAGAATATTGTAATGAGTATTTAATTCAATGCAATTGTATTCCATCGTTTATGCCTTCTTCATTTCCTTCGAACCTTTTTGTCTAGAGTTAACGTCACTGAATTGTTTGCTATTCATTTTTTTAGACGATTTTGACAATTTTGAAAATCCAAATATTTCGAAAACTCCCAAAAACGTCCCTCCAATTTTCAGCCCTGAAATGCGCATAAAAATAATGAATCACTCCACCAAATGAAATCGAATCGTTCAATCAGTTCCCTTTGACCTCGCCATATCATGTAAAGCATTTGAAATAACACATGCGAGAGGGCACGTAAACGGACTGACACACAGCGGCGGGGAAGGGCTTATCAGTACAGAATGAAAGCTCGTGTCCGGAAATCGCGTACCATCGATGCCTCCCATGCTTAAAAATTCCCCACCCACCCCAGCAATCTGCCACCGTGTCCACCCTTTTTCGATGTGTTAACGAGTGCCCGAGCGTATCCACCCGAAGTAGCTCCAGATGATATCGCCATTTTCCTTTTTTACCTTTCATTTCAACTCTCACGTTTATCTTCCCCTCTCGTTTACTGTATCCACCAACACATTTCAACCCACTCACGATTTATAATTGGCTCGTAATTAATGAAACAGCGACTGTTTGACAGATAAAATGCTGCCCCCCTGTAAATTTTTCGTATCCCCACCGCGACGGAGCATTACGCACTGATGTATGCGCGCGATTAATGTTTATAACCACACCTCGAGTTATTTTCGTAGTCAATTATGAGAAGGTGTCATTAAGTGGGTGCAGTTGACTAACGATATTGTAATAATGTTTATACCGGGGTCGTCCGTGTTTATTTTTTTTCTTAGCGCCCTACGCCCACGCAATATCAGTATTTGAGTACCGATGTTTAATGATACGTAAACTCGCGTCTACGAGGGGAAGTGTAGCGTGTCGGGACGATCGATACACGTCGAGTGAGATAAATGTCACTGTGTCTTGATAAGTAATCGTGTATGAGAGGTGCATTAGCGAATCCGGGGATTTAGGTGGGTTTCAAGTCGAAGTTGAGACGGAATTTTGTAGGGATACACTGTGTGGGTTTCATGGACTGAGTAAAATTATCGGGGAGGGAATGACAAATGAAAGAATATGGTGTGGAGGTGCAGATCCATATCGGAAAAACTCGTAAATTTATTTCAGTAGCGAAGTGATAAACCGATTTAAGTCGACTCATCTCCCAGTTGAGTTTCTGAGGAATATTTCCGAATCTAGGGGAGATACCCATTGAAAATCTCTCATTTACTTTCCATTTTTATTCAAAAAAGCAGTTATACACATTACAGTGTTGGAAGGTGAAAGGATTAACCATCAACTATTGTATAATATTGTGTATAGTCACCTAAAATCATTCATTTTCATTCGATAATTGGTAAATGTTTTAATAAATTGTTTTTTGAATTATTTTGTTGATTTTTCTTCATAATATCACAAATAAATTATTCCCCTCACTTGATCGAATAATAACCGAGATTGCCCTTGCGACGTCTCAGAGCTGTCCAATTAGTGCGTCCACTGTCCTGTGTAATCGAACGACGAACATTGGCCCTGTACTCATCCTCGTAAGCATTGAGATAAAGATTCTTAAGAAAAATTTGATTATCCAACTCAGATGGTGGTAGAAATCTCTTTGTCCGGCTCTGCTGCTGTGCATCGAGACCATTCAGTGTAAATTGCTTTGATTTTGATAATTGAGTGGTACTAGTGCGCGACGATGATGCCTTTGAGCTGCTCAACGGTGAATTTACTGACAGGAGTTTGCGATTTTGATGGGGTACACTTGTTGTTTGCTCACTGGCATTTCTTATTCTCTTGGTGCGGTGCTTAGCTATCTCGCTTTTGTTTCCCGAGTTCGGTATCTCGTTATCCAGATGAAACTCTGTGGTTGATGATGTTGCAGTTGATGAAGTTGTTTGATTATCATTTGTCCCCGGAGTGATGGATGATACTGATGACGATGAAGGTGACTCCGGCATTGTCACTACATCCTCCGAATGCAATTTATTATCTATGATATGTTTGAAGAACGCGTATATTTCGCCGACAGTGAATGTTGTGCCGTTGCGCACGGTGAACTTGTCAATGTTCATTTTTCTCATGAGCTCGTCAGTTCCATTCTGCGATTCCAAAATTGATAATTTTTCGTTGACATAGCCATTGATAAACTCGTAGAAACCGCGGTAATAGCTTTTGGACCTAGCTCCCTTCTTTCGCTTCTTGTCTTTGGAAACTTTATTATCATCACTGTGTTCAGTCTTTCGTCGCTTCGAGTCTTTTCTACTCTGTTTCTCACTCCACCTCAGTGATTTGTTGTAAAACTTCATTATCCTCTCGAATTCACGTTTTAATTTAGTGAATTCCCGTTGATTGCGGATTTCAAAGCTATCGTGATTGCGATTTGTATTGTTACGACGAGACTCGGCAAGATCAACGTGGAAGAAGTTTTTGGTCATGAGATTGAGTAGTTCGTGCATGGTTGTATTAACACCGGTGTTGTTTCTCCTCGAATCAATGCGTTTGAGTTTACGATAAACAATCTTCAGGAAGTCTATCATCTTATCATCCTTGGAGCGTGATTTATTACGGTGGGATGAATGCTTCTTCCTAACAAACAGGTTATCCATAGTACCGCTGGAATTTATCGAATGAATCTTGATATCAAGTTTATCCGAGCTATTCTGGGGTTTATTATCAACTAACCCCAAGGGAATAGCTGTAAAGTTACCGACCTCCTCAGCTTCCAATTCCCGTCGTTCGGCTTCTTGTGCTTTATCCAATTCCATGTGCAGCAACTTCTTGCCAACTCGCCGAAAGAATTCAATGAACTTTTTGAAATTTGTCGTTGAGTTGACTGACGCCTGCAGTTCATCGACAGATCTTCTTCGTCTGCTCCATCGAATTCGCGGATGCTGTCCTGGTAGGCATGCCGGTAGTTCTGTTGGGCTCCATTTGCCACCGACACAAGTTGCACCGGGAGGACCCTCACTCAGGACGTAACCCTTGTCGCAGTCGTACATAATTTGCTTGTTGTTAGGGACCTTCTTGACGTAGGGTCGGTAGTCGTAGACGCCCATGTTCCCCACGAGGAGGACCTTGCCGTTGGGCACGTATCCTGGAAAGGCGCAGTAAACCTCCTCACAGTGAGGAGTGTGACCGATCCAGGTACCGTAGTGACACTCCACATGGAAGGAATCGTTCTTAGGACCACCGATCAGAACAAAACCATCTTTACACTTGAACACAGCCTTCATTCCGTGATTCATCTTCGGTGCGATCACCATACCGTTCTTCGGTGACCTCGGCAGCTGCTTGCATCTCGCTGGCGAACATGTTGGAATGATGCTCCAGGTCCCATTATTGCAGACAACTGGTGTGCTGTTCTGAGCGAACTCGTAATTTGGAATGCAGAAGACTCTGAGCTTCTCGCCGTGCTCAACAACAGTGACATTGTTTATGTGATCGGGCGATGTATCGTGATGATCAACGGTGATGTGACCCTTCTCAATCTGTGGAATTATACACGGTGCAAGACAGTGGGGCAAGGGATATCGCCATTTGCCGTCCTTCTGACACACCGAAGATGTGTTTCCCTCGAGCTTCATGTGAGTCTCACAACGAAAGATTATACTTGCCCCGAGACCAGTCCCTTTGAACAGAAAATCATAAGAAAAAGGTAACGTCTTCGTCAAGAAAAAGGTCAGACAGTTCACGTGAAGGAGTTTATCTCTGGGTGATAGTTTTTTGCTCCGCTCGGATGAATGATAAAACTACCTTTCAGACACGGCAAAGGGATGTGAAAGAGTTTGAAGCAGATAGGTGAGAAAATAAAAAAAACAAGTGGAAAAGAGAGGCGAACGAGCAAAAAAGTCTATATTTTCCGGAACAAAGAGCGACGGATAAAGGTCAACGTTGTGGAAGCGACGGGATCGATCAGTGGTGAAAATGCTTTTCAAACTCACCCCCATCAATACCCTCGATCCATCCGTTGTACAGAATTCCGGGTGAGCCACAGTCTATTTCTTTACACATCGGAGCTTGTCCCGACCATTTCCTATCAGCCTGACACTTCCTCGTCGCCTGTCCCACTAGTATGTATCCATATCTGCACTCGTACGAGACAATTGCGTTGTAAGCGTAGGACGTGTAAATGGCTTTTCCATTGGTCGGATGATCGGGTAATGGGCACTGAACGGCCGTTACCTGTGACAGATTTCAATGTGCGATTTGCACTCAATCACTCTGAACGACTGGTTACGGGCATGTGAATTGTAGTGACTTACTTGAACGCACTGAGGAAGATCCTTCGGTGTCCAGGTGCCGTCAGCCAGGCAGACTTTCTCCGCTCTGCCGACCAGTTCATGGCCATCAGCGCAGTGATAGGAAACCCGACAGTTGTAGGTATGACACTCACCTTATAACAGAAAGGTAATAACCTTAATGCGGCTGCTCATAGTGCGGAAAACGCATGTGAACTTGACGGATAGCATGCTGCGGACACCGTCGGTGAGCATGACGCCTCTGACTTGTAATTGATTGATTGCCAGTTGATTAACGAATTACAGGGTAGAATCGCTACGCTCACCGGCTATGCCCGCAGCACTTCAAGGTCATAATGTGCGCTCTCCGCACATGGGCTATCTTCCGGATTTTATCCAATCACTGGAGGTGGACTTCCTCCAGCGGAACCTACCCGCGTGCCATCCGTTCGGTATATCCGGAGGTGGGCCGCAGTTCTTCGGGCTGCATGCGATGTCCGGTCCAAACCAGCTGACCTTTCCATCCATCATCAAGCATTTCGCGCTTTGGAACAGCGTCCTAGTCTCATAACCGTGATCGCAGTAGTACTGCACAGTATTCTCCAGGTCGAATGTCGTCTGCTCCAGTGGTGCGCTATTCTTAGCATTAGCGATCTTCGGTGGCTCCGAGCAGAAGGAATTGGTATCCTTCTTGCAAGCCGGCACCGTACCACTCCAAGTGCCGTCGCCCCGGCAATTTCTCTCCGCAAGCCCCACCATAAAGTAATCCGGATCACACTCGTAATGCACAGTATCCCCGAAGAAATTGCCCGTAACTGTCATTTTACCGTACGATATCTCCGGCAACGTAGGACACATTTTCTCCGGCTTGAGGCATGACATACCGCAGATACCGTCACACCGACACTTCTTCTTCGAACTCTTGCAGTCCTCGTCCGTTGAGCACTTTCTCAGACACTTCTGGCCAAGCAGCTTCGCCTGACTCTCGTCCCTAGGGCACATAGCTGAGGGTGAGTTTCGGGGATTTTTGTAGATCCTCCCGTCGTCATCAATCTCCGGCTTCGAGTAGTCATCATCGTAATCGTCATCGTCCTCATCCTCCTCCGTCACATCGATTGTTGCCTGTTGCTGGAGTTTGGCTTCTGTAATAACAACCCGAGTGCACACAAACACCACGAGCACTGGTAGGATAACACTTGGTCGCATTGTCAGACTATAACCCTCTCTACTGAACTTGTTTATCAAATAACTTCAAACCAAGATGATTATATTATCCTATTCAGCAGTTGATTGTTTACTTGGTTCACATCTTACGTCGACTTTGAACTTCACAATCAGATATGTTTCGATTTAGGACAACAACATGGCAGAGCTACGCGATGATTGAAAATTTATCATTCAAATTTTCATAGTTTCGAGTTATACTCTCCCGCTCGGAGCACACGACGATTGTAATCGCGCTCGGCTATGGCTTCCCGGGCGTACTAACGTTTTTGTGCAGACTGCGGTGTGTCGAGAGCGTCGACTGACAATTCACAGGGGGTTGGAAAGGCGCAACCCGCGTTGCGCATTCGTGACTGTTCAATACATCTCTGGTAGTTTAAAGCCAGCATCCACCAGATGGCGTGAGAATTATTCAACCCCTTCTTTATTAACATTCACTCGCCAAGTGCTTCAACGATGAAATAAAATGATCCAAGATTGATAACAAGATTTCCATTCGAAATAGCGAGGAAAAACTTGCCAGTTGAGTAAATAATTGAAAATGCTGATTGGATTGGAAACTTTCTTTGCCTATTCCGTCTGGTTGTATTGGACAGACGGTAGTGTGGGATTATGATACTGCGCTTGCAGCAGTGAAACTTTCAGATATTACGATTGAACGACTTCAAGGCGGATATACTTCGATTTCCCCATTGATAGCATCTTCTTTTATATCATTTTTATGAAATGTATTTTAATCCTCCATTCTACATCGTAGGAGAGCTACATTGTGAAGCATTTTATGCTTTTGCTGGTATCCATTTGATGGGAATTCCAATTTCCGATGCTCTGGTGTAATCCACCGGGGAGTGTTTCGCCGATGCGGCGACTCCCAAAGGTATTCTGTTCCATCGAATTTTCTGGTAGGGAGAAAGAGGAGGTAAGATCGCGGAACCATCGCCTGTTTTTCAATTTACATATTTGCACAGTGGCCATTTGCATAATAAAGCAGCCAATTTTGCTCGCCACATCGCGGTGGACGGAACCCTTTGAAATAATAAATGTACACAACCCTTTTGTCGAACGCGTGGGCCGGTAATCTACACCGAATTATACATGAAGTTTTGCAAATCAATTTTCACCGGTTACAAGAAACTTCGGCTACCGCGGTCTGATGCCAGTAAGCCGAGATAATCCGGATAATCTTCAGTTTGTAACCCACGTGGAACAGGATCGTTAAGGTAGGTTCGTGTATGCCATTGTCTCGTAACGATTTCAATCAATCGGCCTGGTGGAGGCTTCGTAATAGTCCGCTGTGGCGATGTTCAGGGACACACGCGCGATAATGCGTGGGTTTGGCTATCGCCATCATCCGGCAATCGTCATTCTCTCGCAGAATGTCTTCATTTGTCTTATTCAAATGAGGGGGAGAGCCTAGGGCCGGGGAATGCATGGAGCATTGAGGGGAATTTCGGAGACGCATTTGGCAGACGGATTCGAAAAACGAATGTGTCTTTCCGGGCCGTCGACTCTGGCTCGTCTTGATATTTTTCGTTGGGGAAAAAATGAGAGACAAAAGAACGCGGGAAGAGATATAATATGCGAAATTTATCCGAGCATCGTTGACGTCAACTGAATCAGAATTGCGACAGTTGCAGGGGGTGGAGGATCCTGCGAGGAGAACCTCTGACAGCCACTACGCCAGGCAAGCCTCAGTCTCAGGAGCTCCCCTGAAATGTGGGAGGAGTCGGTCGGGGGACAGGGAGACAGCTCTGGGCCGGCGACATATCTTTCCGTGTCTCTTTTGCTTGGCATCCTTGGAGATGTTCTGGGGAAGGGGAGTTAGAGCGCTTCTATCGTCATGGGGAGGTTATGTTGAGTTGGCTTTGACAAATTTTTTGTGACACATGGTATTGTTTTCGCTGCGGCGGATTCTGGAAGAGATGGCTGGAGATGTATTTCAATTATTAGATTCAATCCAGAAGATTTTAATTTGTTTATATTCAGTCGAATGAACGGAATGATGAATTGTAAAAAAAAATGAAGCTGCCGGAAGTTTTTGTGAATTAGTGAACCGTCGTTTCAATTAACAATTTCCATCATTTCCTCATTTTCTGTTTTTTTTCAAAACAAAATTGGATAATTCATCTGAATTATTGGTGCACAGTAAACTGAATGTACGAAGTCAGGGGACGATTGAATGAAGCTGAAAATATTCTGCTAGTTTCAGATTCATGACAATTGAGAAAAATTACCTAAGAAATTAGAGATTGCCCCATTATGCAACAGACTAATGCCTGAGTGGCGCATCATCTCGACCACAAACAGGAAAACAACAGATCAATAGTGTATTTTTAACCTGATCGTCAACCTCGTCGCTGCGGAATGTGCTTGATTCCAATTCAGCAACATGGTGAAGTGTTCTGGCACGTGTATAACGAGGAAATAAAAGACGATGCCCTCTGCCATTCACTGGGTTTGAGTGCGCGAATAAAACCTCACTTTTATCGTCACTTAAATGGCAGAGTGAGAAGATGTTGAAGGCACACCTCCCTCCCACCCATGAGTTGGAATAACACCGGTGCACCTCATTCCACACCAACGTTGGCCTAGTGGGCAGCCGGCTACCATTTTAAGTGGCGAGTTGATAAATCGAATCTACTAATCTCATTCTTCTCTTCTTGAGGGTCATCATTCGGATCGTTCAGGTTGCGCGTCGAAAATAGAAGAAGTTCAAGTCTTGATCGTTTATTGGTTTAGTTACACGGGGAGAAAAATCGATAGGATGACGAAAATAATTTCCTCAGTTGAGAAAATCGCATCATTTGATCAAGTCATGGCACATCGTTGGAAAAATGAAATTTCATGGACAGTTGATCACTAATTGTCCGGGCAGTGACAATGAATGCGATTTAGGGGAAAAAATCGTGAAATTTCAGGTTTCACAGAAAATTCAGTAAAATTCTAGAATTTTAAGCAGTATAAAGACAAGAATTTCATCATTTATTTGAATTTTCAATCTCACATGAATATTCAGTGCCAAATTACATTGGATTTTCAGTGAAATCCGGAATTTCAGGATTTTTTCCCCCCTAAATCGCATTCAGTGTCACTGTCCTACTATTTTACAGTTTTTTTTGTTTTTTCCGCGAAATTCTGAATTTTCAATGACGAAATTCCTTCAAATTTCAGTGGTAATTAAATTCGATAAAAGTTTCCAAAAAGTGTATCGGAAATTTCAGACAAAAATTTTTAACAGCGTCAGTTTGAGAGAAGGCTAAAGTGTTATTGTTTTCCTTCGAACTCGATATAACTTGTGTCCGGAAAGGACATAAAAATTTTTTTCGTCTGAAAAATCCAGAGGTTTATTCTCAATTCTCACGTCTAAAATTCCGTATTCCCATGCCTTTTGTCCCCCTAAATTTCTGCATGAAGAGAAAAATTAGATAAAAATTACCGAAAAAATCGTAGAAAATTTTACTACACGACAGTTAATCGTGAAGCGAACTAGACTTCAATTATTTTTATGAGTTTATGCAATGCATTGAACCTGTATTTGAAACTTCAACTCAATTATCATTTGCTTCAACAATAACCAATGCGTGAAAAAACAAAAAAGATGAGCTCTTAATTAAAAAATGCAATAATATAAGAAAAAACCACAGAGTTTTCAACATACATCAAGCCTTTCCGTCCCTGCAGTTAAAAAATGACTGCTGGACTGTAAATGACATGTGGCTCGGCGAAACCAACTCCAATTCTCTCCCCACCTGCGATATAATTTTTCGTAAACCAAGATGTGTTTATACGTTTGATGTTAAAAGTCCTGAAGTTAAATGCTACCTTTTTTGTGCCTCTTGACTCGGTAAATATGTGCATGGCAGGGTGAAAGTCTCTTGGTTTATATGACTCGAAGATTGGTGGCTTTGAAGGCGTTTGTTGCATACACTTGAAAATCTCGTCTCCCCGTTTTGGTCTCACTCGCTCTTCCTCTCTTAGCCCCTCTCCCTATCCTTTTTAACGTCAGAAATTGGAGCACCGTGAAGTCTCAAGATCATAGTAATTATGTGGTCCCAACACCGTGCAAAGCGAATTTGCGCTCATGCAATTAAGTTGTCGTGTGGAGACGACAGTTTGGATTTTCTTTGGACTAATTTCTTCGTTTTTTACCTCTGGAGATGAATTCTACCCACTGCGTAAGATCACTGTGACTGGTAATGAAATGTGTTTCTTAAATTCACATTATTCTACAGCAAAAAACTCTGTTAAAATTTTTTTGAAATTACGAGGAAGATATTATAGTAAATCTCATAAGAGTGGCATTGAATCGGATTTAGAATTCACGGAAATTTATATATGAATATTCAGAAAGAAAATGACATGAATTTTCAATTTTTCCCTGAATTCTCCTGATTTTTCTGAACTTTCACAGAATAATTGAACTGAAAAATCAAGTATTTTATTGATTTCGTGAATTTGACACGGAAAAATCAGACGAAAATTTATAACAGTGTAGGAGTTACAGATATTGGAAATTTATTTTCCCAGCGTAACGAAACCTCATATTCTACAGTTCCACCTTCCATTCTGCAGCGGAACAGGCGCGTTAACGAGTTTTTGGGGAGTGACAATTGGGAGGGAAGTGGAGGAAATTGATGTTAAAATATCATGAAATTATTTTTGGTTATGTTTCGAGGATACGGCGATGTGGGTTTGAAATAGAGAACTACGTCGTTGGACTATAAATTCAAGCACAAGGAGACACGAGAGAGTTTGAGGGCCTCGTTGAAGGCGAGTGACGCTCATAACTCTCACTAACCCTCCTGACTCTATTTGACATTCAATTAGCGAGACCAGCCCGTGGATCCGGCAGCGTGTGCCCATTGTACGGTTTTGAAATGACACCCGTAGCACTAATATATCCGACGAATATATCCGTCTTGCCTTTTTCGGGGACTAATAGTTGCTGTATTTTCTAATTAATAAATTACAGAGAATTGTAAATTATGGGTACAGAATATTCGTCAAGGGAAACCCATCTTGATGTGTTAAGAAGGAACAAAAATTGGAAGAGAGGAAGAATCTTGCAAAGTGCAGACATTTAGTAGTAATACCCCGAGAGTTTCAAAATGATCGGGTATTTCTCGACAGCTTCGTTCCAAACAAAACAGAGTGTCAACTTTTGCGAACTTTCTGCTTATTTGCTTGCAGAAAAGCTTGAGGGAAATACCCGCTTGAGTTTGAAGCTAGGGGTGTATTTGCCAAATTATTCCCCCCATGAGAATCTTGACCAGCGGACGGCGGCA